CTTTCTGGGGTTCCAAACTCCACACAAGGCCTTTTTCTCTGAGGAATCAGGCTTGTTCTTATCCTTCTTGGAGTACTTTGCGCATTTAATTTTATTGCTTTGTTTCCTCCACCCTTTTTTTTCTTCCTTTTTTTCAAAGCTTGCTTGGAGGAAACCATGGAGAGGTTTTCTGTGCCATCTCTTTGTGACCCCACTTGTGCCTCGACATACTTTCCGTTGTCTCCCTTTGTAGCTAGCAAAGGGAGTCATTGAAATGTGACAAGCAAAAGGGCTTGGACAAAGAACAGATGTTTCCTATAAGGCTACACGAGCCGCAAGGAGCTGTCTCTGAAGCGATGCAGCTGGCAGACTTCTCAGCTGGACTGTTCCTGCAGCTAGCAATGAGTTTTGTGGTAGCCGTGCATCACTTTTATTCTTTTCATCTTCTCAAGAAACTGCATTTGTTGGTCTGCAACTTAAGAGCAAATGAAATTTAAAACATGCTATTTCTTAAAGAAAACTGTTCCCCTTTGCCATCTCACATCTGCTTCAGCAGCCCAAGGGGTGCCAGATAGGGCCAGAAACGTGCAACTGCCTCAGGGTTGGTGTCTAGCTGATATTAAAATGTGAGAGCAGAGAATATTTCACCTTCTCTTTGGAACTGAATTAATCTTTCTCAGTCTAGATGTCTGAAATGTGGGGTGCTACAGCCTTTATGGAGCATGAGGATCTTTGATGACTGTCTAATGTTAAACACCTTGGATATCAGCAGCCCTTAAGAGAAAGGAGCTGGAGGCAGCCAGAAAGTGTTTGTTTGGCTTTCTTAGTACTAGACTTTTCTGAGAGTGCTTGGAAAGTTTGCATGCTGAGGGCAAAGAGCAGCCCTGTTCCAGTCTGGTCTGGTGGAATTTTGTTCTATGAACTGGCAACCAAGACAGCCGTTTTCCTGCATGAGTCTAAAGAGGTATTAAAGGAAAATACAGGTACCTAGGTGAGCAGTTTTACCTTTCTGTGAGATCAAATGATGACCTGACTGCAGTTTCACTGTTTGTCTGCCTTCAGTGCACAGAGTGCAAGCAGTCACTGTTAATCTGATGAAGACTGTGTCCTGCAGAATATCGCTGTATTTCTGGTATTTTCTCTAGCAGAGAAAGATTCAGACATAAAGTCTTACTGGCTTCTTGTTTCTATGAGAATAGATCTTTTTTCACTTATGAGTTATGATGCCTTGGGGTATTCTGTTAACACATGCCATTTGGTTGCACTGTGTAAGAACACTTGCAATGAAGGGCATTTTTGAGAATTGATAAGGATGAATTTCTATTGTAGTGAGTGTCTGGAGAACAGATAGCTTGCGAATCAATACTGTTCTTGGCTTGATGACAAATAAAGCTTTGCTTATTCACCCTGGCGTTTCATAATTTCTTGAATCCTCCATCTTCTGACTGCTGTTTCCTAACTAGTATTTTCATGAGAGCTTCTAGAATGAAATCCATAGGCCAGAACAGCTTGATATTGTGTCTCACTGAAGATGCAGGTTTCTGTTAAAACTTAGTAGGCTGTTTTCTTCAGGCATAAGAGTATGGTACTGACAACACACATTATTCCTGCTCCTTGTGTGAATGAATGCACCAGGATTCAGCATGACGGTGGCAAACAGAGGATATGGAGCCTTGTATGTGGCTGCAGCTCCAGGGCACAGCATGGAAAGGAAGGTGTTGGTGTTTCAGGAAGGGCATTTAAAACAGGCTCTGCAAGAACAGGTACTGTGCTTGTCTCCCATGGGGACATCGGGGCCGAGGGACTGACAAAACACCACCGTGCCCGGGGAGCCCAGTGGGTTCCAGGCATCCAGTTTGCTCAAAAAGCAGCCGTTTTTTTGCCTCCAAACATTTCCTTTGGAAACAAAAGCAAAGCTACTATGATCCTTGCTGAATAAAGAGTGTGTGATGTACCTAGCGCTTGCAGGTAGTGATTTTTTGAATAAATTCATTAGCTTTATTGAAATCTAGAAAGAACAGGCAGCCCCCATTGATTCTTCTGTATGCATTTTCTCAACTCTGAGCTTTTCCTGCCTCTTTCATGTGAGATTTGCTGATGTCTGAGCTTCTGGGGCAAGCCACTCAGTGGAGGAAAATGATTGAAGTCCTTCCACAGGGTAATGGAGTTTATTGGTTCCTATTCCACTCTGTTTTTCCATGTTTTTCCTTCCACTGGGAAGGCATTTAGCTAAATGGATTGTACTATATTTGTGTTCTGTTCTTACGGCCTATGGAAAAAGAGACTTTGAGCTATGGCATTCTCCTTTTTCTTCTGTCAAATTGTTGAATAATGATGTGGTTCTGTTACACTGGTTACAGGATCCCTCCCTGAGGATGGCTGTAATCTATAATAAATAATAGGGAAATTATATGCCTATAAATAAGTAGATAAATAATGTTTCATTTTAAAAAAATGCCTTGCTTGTGTGCAAAGACATTGACTCTACAAAGCTAGATATACAGAATTCCACTGTAAAAGCTTCTTGTCTTTTTCTGAAAGACAGGTTTGATCTTTTTTTGGCTCTGAACTCTGCCCGCTTGATGTGAGCTGTGATGGGGTGACAGGTTCTCCTTGTTGGAGCTCCGTTTTATCACATCCAAGGGGAAGAAGGAAGGGTTTACGTCTATCGCCTGGAGACAGAGGTAAAAACACTGGTAGCGTAAACACTGCACGTTGGGGATTTTCCAACCATGCCTAAGGAGTGACAAATAAAACATTCCTCTATGTGCTCTCGCTGAATATGCGCTCCCTGTATGGTAGAGGACTGCACGATGAAGCCAGCAGCCCCATCTTATCCATTAGAGTAGGAGAGAGAAATAATTAAAGAAATAAAATCGTTCTGTACCCGGAGGCACACTGATATCTCAGTGTGATTAAATCACATCCATCGCCAGTGCATAAGTGATTTGTTGGTGCTGATTTTGCTCTGGCAAGCAATGTTCTTCACAGTTTTTTCGACAAATGTGTGCTAGGCAGCTGCTACACCGTTGCTTCCAGGGCTTTCCAGAAAAGAAAATGCTTTGTGGGCCCAGCGGCTAACTCCACTATCCAGGGTGTGCAGGGTGTATTTTAGTTAGGTTGTTCTGAATGACAGCAGCACACGCTTTAACAGCAGACCAGGGGAAACCCTCTTTGTTGCACTCCTTAAAGTTTACTTGGAGAGCTTACTGGAAGCAAACAAGAGTTTGGCATCTGCTACAAGCCAAATAACGTGCACCCTCTTGTGGCTTCTTTCTAGAAGACAGACCAGAAGATTGAAAGGTTTCTGTCACTGAAACTAGCTAGGTTCAACTCAGTTTCCTATTAATTTAATAACAGTGCTCGAGTGTTTGCTTGCCTGGAGATGTCCAGAGACACTGCTTCCATATGAGAATTTTCATGATCCCAGTGAAAAAGGGTCAAGCTTTTGTTTTGGGAATAAGATGTGATTTTGGACTGCTTACTATTTTGTTTAGAGCATTGCTCTCCTTAAGCATTACCAGCGTGCAGAGAGGTCATCTTTCGTATGTAAGAGCTACTTACGCTGCCCCTGCTGTAAATGGGATTCCTTACTGGGTGTTTTTCAGACTGGTTCCTTCACCTTGGAAGGACACTCAAAAGTGCAGGTGACCTCTCCTTTTACAAGGTTTGGGGTTACTGTGGCCAGCGTTGGAGACATCAACAGGGATGGATATGAGGATGCTGCAGTTAGAGTCCACCTGGAAGATCATCTTCCAGACAGTTCCCCTTTTGGCAGTATTTGCATCTTTAGTGGTGATAAAGAAGGGATGAAAAGCTCTTTCACCCTAAGCATGTATCGTGTATGAATTGCCTCCAGTAACACTCTGCAGAAGGAAATGCTTGTGTTTTTATAGCAAGGAGCTAGGAGGAAGGAAATGCATTTCATTCACAACGATGGGTAAGAAATATACCCAGCAGATGATTTATGTGGCTGCACAATTTTCTGCAGCAGAGCTGCTCCTTAATCATAGTTGTTCACTTGCCTGCTTAGGCAAAGGAGCTGGGTTCAAGTGGGCAGGGGATGATTAGGGGCAAACAAAGTAAAAGATGGTCTAACCTAGAACAAATTGACTTGGAGAGAGTTTCACAGATATTCAGAGACTGCTCTTAGGTACACATATATGCATAGATTAGATAGTATTTCAGTTCTAACAAATCTGCTGATGCTACACCTTTATTACTGAAAGTCAATGAATTCAATGACCCAGGTACACTGAGTAATAATTCAATTTGACATTCACTTAGTTGGATTTACCTTTGTCTACAGACTAGTTTAATGTACATGAATGTGAGTCAAGCATTTGTTGAAAATAAAGAAGAATTCCAATTTCATGTAAGTAGAGATTCAAATAATCTGATACATGTTTAATCAGGACTGAAGACTACTTGCGCGTTTCCTCTGTAGATAAATGGAGAAAATCACTTTAAAACTACCATCCAGTTATAGATTTGGGTTCCTATTCATGAATGTGAAAAAATACAACAGGAACACAGGTACTTTTTTTTCCCCTCCATGATCTGATACCATTTTGCTGGTCTTTACAGGGGGAATATTGTAGATTAGACTATTTCTAAGGCTGTATTACAGTATTACACAAACTTTAGATACTTGCACCTTGTAGCACCATTCCATGCACATGTTTTGTCAAACTGAGGTCATTTTAATAAATGAGTCATAGAGGTTTCCCACTATTTTCTATACCCAATTGGGTTAACACTGTTTACTACTTTTGTCCTCACCAGTCAGAAGTTGGTTTTTTTTGTTTGTTTTTTTTTCTTTTTTAAAGTAAGAAAGACAATATAATAGTGAAATAGAACTTATTTTAATATACTAAAACTCAAAAGGTAAGAAAGTTTAATTCAAAGCATAAGCTAAGCCCGAAGAAATGGCCCCTTGCAAAGTCATGTCTGTGTTCCTTTCCCCTCTGCCCTCAAGGTACTTTTTTTTTTTTTTTTTGGACTTTTTTAAAACATGTTTTTGGTAACTTCTTATACACATTGATCACCCATGCACATAATGACATTTCTTCAACGCATCAACAGTTAAAAAGACAGTACTGATGCAGGTCAGCATCAGTAACTTCATCTGCAGAAACACTGCTCTCCCTTAATTACTGGAACAAGCTGCTGCTATGCAGAACTTCACTTGCAGAACCAAAAGTTAGTACTTCGTTATGGAACTTAAGGAGCTGCTGCTTTATTTTTCTCATGGCAGAAGTTGTTTCCTTTCTCTTGTAGGTCACTTCTTTCAGAAGTTTATCTGACAAGTAATGTAGCCAGAGCACATTGCTGTGTGGCTGATAGTCAGTCCAGCTGTTGGAGTTCTCCATTTTCATTTGCCTATAGATATCAAACTGGTAGTCCCCTGTGCCTTGGAACAGTTCTTCATCAGTGGACAGGTCACAAAATACAGTTAATCCATCTTTCTCCAGCCGGGACAAGGTGTAATCTATGATGTTGACATGGATCCCTGCAGTGGGGATTGTGCACACATTCCCGTTCAGCACATAACTGAGCTCCTTTACATCTGTTCTCTTGACCAGCACATTCCCCCAGTGCAAGTCTCTGTGCTCAAAGTGCAATTCCTGTTCTGCCACAGCCAGGGAAGCAGTGACCTGCTGCAAAATGCTTTTTGCTGATGCTACTGAACTTAACTTCTTTCTCATATTCTCCAAATCACTGCCTCCAAATTCAAATTCCAGGACCATGAAGAGTTGCTCGTCCCCAAAAAGGTCTGGCCGATCATTTTCTGATCCTATTACATCGTGGTATTTGTCCCAGGCTTCCAGAAGGTGCTTAGGATAGGCTCCTTGAACACAGTGCACCGAATACAAGCTAATGAACCCCACAGTCCTGTTCATAGACTCTTCGGACAGAAGACTGAGTTCCCTTGAAATTATGATCTCGGGTAGAATCTCTGCAAAACTCTTTTGAGCTTCACCATTTACTCTCTCACTCCCCTCAATGGGAATTATTTTTAAGGCCACCGGTCCTCTCTCGCTGTGGGTCCGGAAGACCTCCCCAAACACCCCTTCCCCAATTTTCTGGCAATTTTTCAGCTTATCAAAGGGAATGCATTCCTCAAAAGAGATAGGCCCCTCCTGCTGGCATTCCCCGTATACCTTCTCTGCATCCGTAAGCATCATCTCCAGGACAGAACAGGAATTCCTGGGAGCCAGCAGGGCCATGGAGGAAGCAGAGCGACTACAGCACTGAGCCATATGAGCAGATGGGGTTCCTTGGGGGCCTGAAAGGCGGGATTTCATCAAAGGGGAACAGAGGCTGCTGCTGCAGAAACTCTCCTCTGTGGCAACTTTCTTCTTCTTGTGGAAGGACAACGATGATCGGAGCCTGCCCCAGCAATGGGAGTTACTGAGGAAAGAGCAGTCTTTGTCTCTTCCATCTGCAGCCATCTCCAAAGTGTTCTTCTTCTTCATCCCTCTTTGTTTCCTCGGCGGTCTGAAAAAGGAGTTATTGGCCTGCTGCTGCCTCTTGTTTTTGAGGCGGGCCGGGCGCAGCCGCGTCTGCCGGCCCCAGCGGCTGCAGCTGAAGCCGCTGATGCAGGCCTTCCTACACGTGCTGCCCTCGCCAGCAAGCACCTTGCTGCTTTTGTATTTCTTCCCCACGCCTCCTTGCAGGCCTAAGGGAGAACCCGGCTGCGGGCAGGGCTGTCCGTCCTGCTGCACCCCAGCCACGCGAGTGACTTCTTGAGGGTCCAGGAGTACCTCGGGAGTAAGCTGGTCCCTCCTGAGGCTCGAGGGTCCCCTCCTTGAGCCTCTGCTCTGCTCATCGCAGCCTCCTTCAAAGCTGGGGCCATCGCTCGCTGCAGGACACTGCGGCTTCACTGTCCCCTGTGCCGCAGTGGCTCCCTGCAAAGGCAACGAGGCTTGAGACAGGCGCTGTGCTTGCGTTGACGATCTCAGCACCCTGTCACTGGATGATCCCTCGCAGGACTGTCCTTCCCTGGCGCTCTCACTCGCTGGTGACGGTTGCTCCCAGGCTGCCGGGGAGGCCTCGAGCGGGGCCAGGCCGCTGCCGCCGCAGGGGACGGCCGTGCGGCCGCCGCGCACGGGGGCCAAGCGTGGCTCCGCGGCGCCGGGCGGCGAGAAGAGCTCGAGGCTGGCGGCGCTGAGCAGCAGCACGGAGCTGAGCTCCGCCAGGCCGCGCGGCGCGGCGCGGGGCGGCCGCTGCGGCGTGCTGCAGAGCAGCGGCCT